TGAAAACACGTAGTTTCATGCGCGCTACACGGAATACTGTCAGGATAAGCTGAAGTCACTAAATGCCGATGTTCAAATTCTCGCGAAAAGGTGTAGCTGCATGAGGGATTTTCCTCGTTTTTCCCATGTGAAAGGGTAATACGACACAATTTTCCTTAAAATATCTTTCAGGAAGGCATCCCACCTCCTGGTGGATGCCCTTAATCCTTCCCCTTCCCCCAAAACGTTAAGAGATAATATGATATTAACATATTTAAAATGAGCAGTTTCTAGATATTTGAATATTAGTTCAAACATTAAAAGGATGAAACTTATAATGAAATGTCTGCTGACATTAATGCGCGAACAGTGTGCTCTTGCTAAGTAGACAGCTGATCACAGCACAGCAAGCGAAGGCTATCTACCATAGGAAGGATGCCCTTCATTAAGGACTTCCTAAGGAAAACTGGCTTCCTTTCCCATTTTACGTGGGGAAAATAACAGGCAGCTAAACGTGTTCGCTTGGCACTTGACACCGGACGAATTAATTGTCAATGCTCAGCGGCACTGCTCCCTCGTACACTGATGGGTAGAAAACTTAATTTTGGAATCTTTATAGACTGGATTAGTTCATAATATGGGAGAGTTACTTGCCTAAAGGGCAAGATATCTTCGTGTAGGATCTTTTTAGGAGAAATTGGCTTGTATTCATGTTGTACATGGAAAAACTAAGAAAAGTCTCATGCCGCTCTCTTGTTCACTGGAATGTGAACCCATGTCGTCAACCGACTTTACCGCTTTGGAGCTGGTAAACCAGATAATTGCTTACATTTTTATTTTGTCAAAACTTGCCCTTTAGGTAATGTGTTATCGCGTTGATAGCGAGTTCTACATTTGGTATCTTCTTCCACCATTGCTAAAAAGTTTAATTATATTAATTAATAGTTAATTAATTAAAAGTAAAATTCTAGTTTATGAAACTCAATACAACTCTACTGTGATTACGTCCTCAGATTTCACCTTCACTTTTAAAAGAACTTGTGTTCGAAAATAACTTTAGTTGCTGAGATAGAAGAAACTTGAGCTAATCACTGACGGTGCTGTCTTGATTATGACGCATTCTCAACAATCTATGTAAGAATACTTTTTCATCAACTTTGTACTCCAATCAGGTTAAATTTGGAGCCCTACCGCTTTCTGCAAGTTTGACTAGGATAAGAATATATGAAAAACCAGTCTCAAGTTACGCGCGCACTGCTTTTATAGAAACATTTTTGAGAGTTTAGGATTCCTCAACCAACAAGATAGGGATAAAAAATTGTATTAAAAATAATAATCGTTATTTTACACCTTGTTGTTCTACGAATTTTTAAACAAAATATTTAAACCTTTTTTAAAGAGCCTTTGCATTCAAATTATGCTTTTATTACATTTTTAACTTATCGTAATGTTTTTTAGATAATTTATAGATTATGATAATACACTAATAAAAATAAGTTTCTTTAACTGGTTTTAATGTGAATGGCATAGTTTTGCTTCATACATGTTTATTAGATTAACAACTTTCCGAATTACTTGCTACGTAATGGAAATTTATTTTACAATTACTCATTAGAGGACATTTAATAGGAGGGTATATGAAAAAAGAAGTTTAAGGAGAGTTAAAATAACTCATTTAATTTAACTGCTACATTAATGGAAATGACATTTAAAATATTTTGTGTCAGTGGAAAAATACTATGCTGTTTATTGAAAATAAATATTTTGAAGCACTTTTTTTCAGAAATTTCTTGATTCTGTTTAATACAAATTAAATAAAATTGAATTAGAAATAACTAGTTTACTTATTAAATGGCATTCTAAAGATTAGATTTATGAATGAGCAATGCATCTTCACTAACGAAAGTGAAGTGAAGTGTGAGCTAGATGCGCATGTTTTTAAATAGAATTAATGCCCTTGTAGAGTCATTAGGATTTTTTGAAGCCGGAGACATGAACAATGTGCAATGCCCTGGCCGGGTCTCGAACCTGGACCTCTCGAATACGCGCCGACTGTGTTAACCGTTACGCCACGAAGGCATGCTAGAAAAAGGAGGGAAATCTCTTGGCCGAGAAGCGTACCACTTAAGAGGTTGCTTGAGGACGGGAGAGACGATGCTAAAAAAGGGGGCCGCGCATACCTTATATAATCCCCCCTTTTAAAGGGTGACTAGGGATTAGAGGACTCAATCGCAAATCCTGGTGGTATCATCATTCGCCACCTTTTACTTCGGGCGCCACTGTTGAGTCATTAGGATTTTTGAAGATGGAGACATGAAAAATGGGCTATGCCCTCCTCAGGACTCGAACCTTGACCTTTCGAATACGCACAGAGTATACTAACTGTTACATCAAGAAGACATGCTGAGATGAGCGGGAAAATACCTTATACCAGAAATCTTATTACAGATTATTATTTTGTTCTCATAGCAACATAAAAGTTTTCTCCCCCCTTGATCGTTTGGTTTGGCTTATTTAATTATGGCAAAGATCTCGAGGGTTATCTGGCTCAGGGAAGGGATGGCCTTGTGGAGGGCTTCCATAAGGGAAACTGACTCGTATCTAGTACGTTGCTCATCGAGAAACCCATGAAAACTCCCATGCGTCAATCGATCCCACTTTTAACTACCAGTGTTCAGCGGTTCAGTTACCGCTCGCCCGCTGCTGGGCCCCACCTTAGTAGAAATGAAGCAGAAAATACAGAAAACTGTAAAAATTTTAATTTCATTCGGAGGGGAAACTGCTAAAAGCAATTTTGTAAAGCAAAACAATTAACAAAAAATTCAATCAACGTTATGCAAAACGTCATATTTCATTGAAAGTTGAACGAATTCGAAATACCGTTTTTGCAGTGTTAGAAAGTGTAATAAGAAATTGATTTTCTTACTAAAGTATCGAAAGTGATAAAAAATAAAGTACTAGACCAATTACCTAACCTTTAAAGATGTTTGCTAATGTGAGAAGTGAAAATTTCCGTCTCTCCTGAAGAAAAATGAAATGAGAACTACACCAGCTGAGAATCAATCATAAGCTTTTAAAATGCTTTGGTCATGTTTCAAAAATCTAAATTATGCTTCAAAATCTAGTGAAATAGAGTTTCATAATACCTCTTGTTGAAAAGAAAGCTTATGTTTTGAACAAATGATCTATTTGCCCTGTACGGTAATCGACACATGCACTTCGTAATAAATATCATCGGCGTCAGAGTTGTGCTCGTAATTCTGTTTTGAGAATCATTAGTGTGCAGCAGCAAGTGTCGGAAGAAGTGATAAATGACGGATTTCTAATTATCTGGAAATGTGTAAGTGTTTATTTATTGTTTTGAGGTTTATTTTCATAGCTATTCTTTCTACAGCTTTCTAAACGTGCTGAGGTGATATGCCCAGGCTTTGATACCGAATTGTGAAAGCTGGAAACAATGTTTACTGATTAGATTTTCCTGATAACATTCGCTGGTGAAAGGACTATAAATAATAAAAGTGACAATAACAAAGTAAATGCGTAGTTCCGCATTTAATTCAATGCATTTAGAAAGCTAATTTTTTTACTTGCTGCTTCGCATAATTTAATAAACTTGAGAGGTGGGGCAAAGCAAATATAATTCTTTTCATAATTATTAGGTTAGCTAATTATATTCAGAGACAATGTATTAACAAAATTGTAGCGTTTTTCTTCGAAAAATAATAGTTGATTAACATAAACTGAAATAAAGGCAGCATATAAAGATAGGTTATGAAAAATATCCGAGAAAATATTAACTTTATTCTGTATTAGCGTTAAAGGGGCAAGTCAGTTGTGTTCATTTTTTAATGTACCATGCGATACCGGACGGTATCATTCCATAGCAGTTCGATAATTTAAAAAAAATTAACCACTCGTCTGAGGAAGTCTGAGTAAGCTTGTTGAGATATTAGGATTTTTTTTTTGAAAGTAGAAGATGTGAAAAATGAGCAACGCCTTCGCCGGGACTCGAACCACGAGCCTCTCGAATACGCGCCGAGCGTGCTGACCACTGCACTACGAAGGTATGCTAAAAAGGCGGGAGAAATACCTTAAAAGCTGTAATACAAATACATCAGCATTTACAAAGAAAAAGTGGAAGAATGAATGAAATGTGAAAACTTTTCAAGAAATATCTCAACAACCGTGTCTACGGTGGAAAATAAACTTTAATATACTCCATTAAAAAGGCGATTGTATTACTGAACCTTATTAGCGTATTCATTCATATTAGTAAAAATAACATTGAGCTACCATTTCCAAAATAGGTTTTCTTCCTTTATAATCTTATTTTAAATAAAGTTATTTAAATTAAAATTATTGTTTATCAGTTTATTATTTCTTAGATATCTGATTGTCGGTTGAATCGACCTATAATCTATTTCTGCCACTTTTTTGGCATGCCTTCGTGGTGTGGTGGTTTGCACGTTGGGCGCGTATTCCAGAGGTCCGTGGTTCGATTCCCGGCGAAAGTGCTGCTAATTTTTCATCTTGCTCGCCTCAAAAAAATCCTACTGTCTCTACAGTGGCGCCGGAAAAAAAGGGTGGTGGATGATGACTCTCCACATTCAGGATTTGGGCGATTGGGTCCCCTAGAAACCCCTGTCGCCCTTTAAAAGGGGGAGTGTATAAGGTATTTCTCCCACCTTCTGGCATGCCTTCGTGGTGTGGTCGTCTGCACGCTGGGCGCGTATTTCAGACGTCCGTGGTTCGATTCCCGGCGAAGGCGTTGCTAATTTTTCATCTTGCCTGCTTGCAAAAAAATCCAATACGTCTAAAGACCTATTAAAAAAAGACGGGACCTACTGAAAAAAGATACCAAAAGATTAACAGATAATGGGAAATAACATTGGAGCTAAAGTATCGCAATAACTTCTCAATAAAAGGGTTCCCTAGCCTGTACATACAGTGCTCTTTTCAGTACGTGTTGAATTCTATTCTGTTAACTTCTATGTGTTTTACATTCGTTATTGTCTTAACAGATCTCTGATGTTTGACAGATAAAGAAACACCAGCTACCCTCTTTTTTTCCAAGATCATGATATATTATTGAATAGTTGAAAGTACTCTAATTTTTATGCAATGTAATCATACATCACTAAAGAAAACATTGTGGAAGTGGAGTGCTGAAGAAAGCAGAGGTAAGAATCAGAGTAAGATATTAATTTGTTGGAACTACATCACATTTAAAACAGGCGTGCGGTTTACGTACTGTTAGTGAAGTAGTTAAAAATCCTTTAAAGTTTGAGAAGAAATGGATATTGAGAATAAAACTAATCATAAATTGAAACAACTGCTGCAAGAAGTTTGCACTGATAGAACAAAGTAAGAATCGAAATCTCCGAAGCACAAATCAGCAACTGAAATTTCCAATATCCAAATCTCCAGCAAAGATACCTTTGTGCCAAATGTAGCTTTCGGTAGCAGATAATACGTAAGTAAAACTGAGAATTCGAAGAATGACACTTCTGAAGTGAGAAAATAAGGAGTCTTGTAGTATGAATCGGTTGATGTTTTTAAAATATAACTTTGAGAGGAGAGTAAAAAATGTAAAATCAGAGCTTACAAATTAGTAAAGCTTTTTATAACCAAGAGAATCATGTTTACGTGCTAGCTACAAAGATGAAAAAACATTCGCATGAATGAAAAGTGAAAATGTATTTAAATTTAATGTTGGAAATAACGGACAAAGTTAATTAAAATCCAAATTAGTTACACAAATGTATCATGTCTTATATTACAAGATGACATAAGACGTTGGTACTAAAGATTAGTAGACAATAAGTGCAAGTACGTTTTAAGATTTTCTGCTTGAATTGGATGGAAGCTGTATTGCCAAAAATAGTGCCCACATTGCTAATATTCGCTTATAGCATTAATAGAAGCTCTAATACATTTACAAGCAGAAAGCTTTTGAGTGGTTTGCCATAAACGGATTAACCTAACCTAATACAATTAAAGAACCGCTGCTCTTAGTAGGTTAAAACGAAACTTATGGATGAAAATACAATTTTTAAGCTGCAAGTAAATAACTAGGTGGAATATTTTAATGTACATAAAACTGTCATTTTAAGGACTTAAATTATGGAACAGACAGCAAACCTATCAAGCTGAAGGCTCTACTAATTCTGATGCTGGCTTGAATACTATTGGAAATATTGGGAATTACATTTGCTAAATTCCGCAAAATAAATAAAATTTGGTAATTCAGATTCAACTTGGTAATAGTCCTCAATAACCTATTTTGCGTAAGAGCATTTTAAAATTATCTTTGAGTATGTTATAATGGCATTAGTGAATTTTACCGAAAGACGTAATTTTAAAGCATTGTTGACGTCACAAATTCCTTTGGGACATCTTCATATCTTTAGTTGAATATGAAGACACAATTTCACGCGATACTGGTTTAACATTTGTATGATGAATGGGACAGTTATTAGGGAAATGTAATTTAGGAAGGTCTTGGTATTGAAATATCAAATGCTTACAATTTTTAATGATATGGTTGTTGAAAAATGTACTAAATTAGTGGATCTATCGTATGTTTTTCAGTTAATGCTTTCCGAAAGTTTTACATTTCTAATAATGAAATAAATTTGGAATTCTCCCGCAAACATAAAGTAAAAGAAATATTATAGCTGTAGCTTGGTATTGAAGAAATATTATAGCTTCTATCACACACATCTGGTAATAATAAACTCAAACTAAACTGAAAGACGATTTATTACACACACCTTTTTTCCTTTTAATTTGTTTTCTAAGCTATTTTGCTTCATATAAAAATTTAATTAACCTGAAATTAGCTTTTTAAAATTGTATTAATTTATTAACAGTTGCGTGAGAAAATTACATAATTTTGAATGTATAGATGAAATTTAACGTTGCTAATTCACCATGCTGAACATTAACATGAACTGAGTACCTTTGGCAGCTTGAAACTAGACTGCATACAGAGAAGCATTTATTTGACGTTTGCCATTAGTAAAGAGGGTGCGTAAACTTGAAAAAAGCTTACCATTTATTACTTGACCTGGTTTGTATGAAACACTTGTTTGTAGTAACACATAGGGCGCATCATTCATCTGCAGCGGTAAGCTAAGACTTCTCGCAGGGCTTATTGTATCGCATGTATCCGTAGGAGCCCCCTGAGGATAACTTCCAGCTTTGATGTGGAGCAAAAGGAGTATTAATGCAGCATAACTATATTTAAAAGCCATACTACTCGATAATAGGATAAGAGAAAGGAAGATGGAACTTGAAAGTCAAGGCTACTTTTCGAAGGCCATTTAAAATGTTGGGCTTGATGTGATGCCATAGTAGAAGCGAGCAGCGACCTCGTTTTCAAGTGCAACATCCTCGGGCAAGACCTGTCTCGTTTTAACTTTAAGATTTCCGTGACATGTTTGTGTAAGTTTCCATCAACAGGTTTTCTTTCTGAAGTAAGGTCAGCTTTATTAATTAGGTAATTTGATCTATTTCATTGTCAACTCTAAGTACGGAAATTCTTTCATTAAAAGAATGGCAATAAGTAGCCAATAATAGCACATACATCATGTATAAAACGTTTTATTGGCCTTAAATGTGCTACAAATTGTGAAACACTTTTTAAGTAATTTTTAATTACGTGAAAATTGTTTTGATTTCCAAAAACGGGAAGGAATAAGTGAGGTAGGAATACTACCTATCGTTGCAGCGTCATTGCTTTAAAATAATAATAATAATAATAATAATAATAATAAAAAACAGAAAAATTGCAAACATTTTAGGTTGATTTGAGAATATCAAATGTTTGGTGGTTTTTCTACATAATAAACAAAATAAAAAGGGTTAATAAAGTACCAAAATTATACTCAATCATTTTGTTAATAAAATCAACGCATAAAAATATTTGGTTAATCTTTGGTCTATGGTAACTTGGCGATTTTTTGGCGAAAATTTGGCGGCCAACCCTGCTACAGCAACCTGCTAGTTTTGTTTTGGACGCCATTTTGTTTTTACGAAGTAAAGGCATTTTTTTTTTTTTTTTAACTCAACAGTTTTTTTCCAACAATCTGCTAGCCGAATTACGCTTATGCTAGAACTTTTATGGAACAAAAGTGCTTAATCATGACGAAGATTAGGTGCGAAATTGGGAGACAGTGCAGAATCGCCCACTGCTTGCCGCGTTTTTAAGAATTGCACATACACGGTATCCATGTACACGTCCACCTATTGTCATTTAAAAAAAAATCCCAGAATTGCACAAAAATGGCATTGCGCACACTCTTGACTTTATCCATGTACACTGCTAAAGTCCTAGATAGTAACCTTTATCGCCTTACCAAAATGTCGCCAAACTACCTGTTACCATATTCCAAAGATTAGCCAAATATTTTAGTTCCTTCTTGTTTTGTTGACAAATGACAATAATTTTCTTGAACTGTACGAATAATTTCATACTGAAGATATATTCCTCGTTGCATCATAAGTTATCTTTCGCTCGCAGATGTACATTTCTCTTAGCTTGTTGTAGAATTAAAAGTGAAGATATGAAACCCAACGGAATTTTCATAATTTAGAAATATGATTACTTTTATGATTAAATAAGAACCCAAACTAATCATAAATGGAATAAAGATTCACGTAATGAAAAAGCAAGAGAACCTCATGCAGCCACCCCGCTCAGTCGCCTGCTGCCCAGGGGGAACTACCGAAATTTCGCTAAGATAACCATTCGGCCCCTAATCGTGCGTTATTCTTAAAACAACATGCGAAGAATAACATAAATTCAGAATGGCTTCGTGCATTTTTCAGATTAAGTTACCATTAAGTTTATTAGTTTTCTTTTCTAAGTTTGTCCTGAATGAGCGGATAAATACGTGATACTTACGTATTATTCCGTCGACCGTGAAACTGTTGCCAAACAGCGCGGTTTAGCCCAATTATGGGTAAGCGTGGCATCACAACACACTCATAATATCTGCGCTCTGGTGTGATGCAACTCTCTCCGATTCTCCATAAGCGGTCTTTTATTTTTATGAAAAAGGATATAAATTAACTATTATTGCTGTAGTCTTTTCTTGAAGTTTGGAAAAAATGAGCTGTAGATTCACATTTGCGACTGCCCTCCGGTTCATTTGCAGCAGTTAGTCGAGAGAATCAACATTTATTGATTACGGAAAAGTAAAGATGGCGGACAAAACAATATAGATTGAAACAATTACCTGCGAGAAGTTTTACCGACAGCGTTCTAAACAGAGCTTCGGGTAAAATCGGTGGGGCTAACAAAACAGTATAAATGAACGAAGCTTTTTTACGAAGCGTTAAAACGAAGCCAGTCGAATACTGCTGCAGCAGTGCCTATTTGATGGATTGTGCAGAGAGACTGACAGATGTTTCATGGCAAGAACTGCAGATTAAATGAACAGGAGCAATTGGCGCAAATTTGGTGGAATGTCCGCCACTTTTCACGCTCGATGGGATAACACATAAGTGACAAATATTTGCTTAGAGCAAGGATAAGGCAACTGATTTACTGCTTTTATTACTGATATCATTTCAATTTTATCAAAATGTCCTTTGAGTAATAGTATTTTAATAAACCAAGAATCCAGCAAAAACATTTGCTTCTAACAGTGGCACCAATTTTGGTACTTACGTGTTACTGCAACTAGCTCAACGACCAATTTTTCAGAATGTGCAAAAATCTAACCATGCGCATAATGATTCTTCAGGCAACATGCTCAGAACACAGCTCATCTTCCTGCCACGCCCACCAGCGGCCGAGCGGTAAAGTCGCTGAACATTGGTAGTTCGGTCCGAGGTTTGAATCCCGCGAACGGGCTGGTTGCATGGGCGTTTTCGTGGTTTTCTCCATGTGTAACGTGTATACGAGCCAGTTTCCCTTATAAAGTCCTCCACGAAGGCATCCCCCCTTAGGAAGATAGCCCTAGAGGCTTTGCCGTAATTAAATAACCTAACAATCTTCCTGCCAAGCAAATTCGCCATTTTTGCATGCGTTCCTTTTATTGTATTCTAGTGGCTTTTATAAACATATCGTGATATATTATGCCTTAATTTTAAAACATGCACTTCTCGAATTTGCCAGCGATGGAAGAAACTGCAGTAAAATTTCTCGAGGAACACAGAATTTTGATTCAAAATCTCTAAAGGGAGCAACGAGGAGATACGCTTGATGGACAATTGACATTACCGGAGTTTCCGCGAAGGCGTATTTCTACAATTCTCTGATTTTTTTAAGTGTGAACAGATCGCTGTGCACTTGGGGATAAGAAAAGCACAAAAAATTAAAGATTTGGAGAAAAATGTAAATATTTTGTTTTAATGGATGTCGTAATATTCATTTAATAATCAAAATCCGTATTTTAAATTACTAAAGTGTGTTTTCTTTCAGATGTTGATAATGTTTGCCAACTTACAATAAATATCGACAGTCTGGGAATCCCTCTGTTCAAAAGTTGCAAAATCACTAACTTGCACCCGATAAGTAAGTTTTAACTTTTCATCTGTAAAAAATCGCTATATTGGACCAAGATGGTTGCTTTAATACGTAAAATGCCTACATTTTTATGCCACTGCATATGAGCATTCAACTGTGTCAACCTAGGTCGCCCTGATCAAAAGGTTCATTGTAAAACATAGTTTTTCAGAATGGGAATTTTCACAGAAATTATAAGTATTATAACTTTGAATAAAAAATTTCATTATAAAGATTAGGACTTTATTCCAAGGAATACAAATTTATGGTAATCAATTATTAGTCATAAGATGATGAGGTAATTATTTATAAAGATTTAAGAGGCCTTAACAAAACTTAACGAATGTACAGAAATGCATATTTTAAGTTCATTTGATTAAAAAAATATTTGAAAAAATGGAAAATTATGCAATGTTTAATATATCTAAATGTATGTGAAGGTATTTTATAGCATAAATAAAAATGGTATCAAAGGACTGTTATGTGTATGTATAAAAAGTACATGTATAAATACGTATAAAAGTATATATATATATATATATATGTATATATACGTATATATATATACGTATATATATATATATATGTATATACGTATATATATAATATATATATGTATATATATGTTGTATGATCTTAAATTCATTTAGTGCGAAAACAAGTTACTACTACTTGCGCAATTGCTGCAAAGTAAGTTAATAATAATTTATTTACTAAATAATATTGATTGGTTATATTATCTCCTAAGTTTAATTAAAGTAGAATTATCTTAAAAAAGTGAATCCATACTAGTAAGTTATATTTTGAAAGATGTTTTGAAGTAACTTGAAAGTAAAATGTTAATAATGTTTTAACGGGGACTGGAATTAAATCATCATGAAGAACAAAATTTCAATTGTAAAAGGAATAAATTAAAGGCAAGAATTAAATTAAATGCATGTAATCACTGTCACTGATCGGAAATTAGTTGACTTTTCAAGGGGAACAAATCAACTCCCGTTCAATGAACAATAATTAATAATAAATAATAAATACGAAGGTGTTTCGTCTTTACTCGAGCATTAAGGTTAAGCCAAACCGGCAATTCAAGTCAGGCCAAATATTTCCGTGAATAGAAGGGATTATGAACCAATGCTGATATTCAAAGAACTTATTCCTATGAAGCATTTTAGCCAAATCAATTTTGAGTGAAAAGCAATTTCTGCAGTGAATTTCTAAAAAACTCGAGTAACAGTTCCCCGACACCCTCGTGTTTATGCATTTGAGTTCAATATTATTTGTAAAAACTAAACATTGGAAATTGTCATTATGAAATAGAATTCAAAGTATAAAGTTGAAATAAACGTTAGAAGATTACAAAATATAAGATAAATAATGCAAACTTTGTAAAAACAAATAAAAAATAATATAAAAATAAAAATAATATAAAAATGAAAATATTTGCGAAAACAAGTTACTACTAGTTGCGCAATTGCTGCAAAGTAAGTTAATAATAAATAAAGTGTGCAGATTTTAAATAAAAGCATCAATTAAAATAGCAGGGATATAATATATAATATGTGCCAAACATATTGATTTTATCGATTAAGAAAGCCGCAGTATTTTTAATCTGAATAAATGTTTGTTATCGAACCTGAATAAATGTTTGTTATGTTCGTATAAAAATTATTTTTATGTCTAATTTGTTCTCTTCACTGTAATTACGTATCTGATTGTTAACATAGATATGCAGAATCCATAGGTGGTACTGATAATATCTCAAGCTTATGATAACACGTTTTGAATTTTCGAATTTAAGAAAAGGGAAAATAATGTTTAGCAGAAATATATTTCTTTCTTTTTTATGGTAGTTACTCTGAGCACGTTTGCTATTGACTTTATAAAAGGTAGGATAATTAGGGCAAAAGAACTCTCGGGCTGTCTGCCTAGGGGAAAGGATGCCTTCGTGAAGGCCTTTTTAAGGTAAACTGGCTCTATCCAAATTTCACGTGGGGCAAACCACGAACGCTCCCGTGGAGCCGGTCCGTTTGCCAAGATTCAAACATGGGACGAACTACCAGTGTTGAGCGACGTTCCCGTGCTACCCACTTTATTTAGATGATTAACTCTTTTATGTGCTAAATCTCATTTTTAGATACAGCTGAATACAAAGCACCGAAAGCACGTCATCTTTTCAAACATTTTAAAAGTTAGGTCCTTAAATTAATATTTCTTCTGGCATTTTTGTTACTTTTAAAGTTTTAGTCTAGAGCTTTATGGAAATAATTTAAAAATCTATTACAAAACCAGAATCGATTTTATTTGTCAAAGGAAAGTATTGTCTGAAATGTCACAGGTGAACAGATATAACCCTAAATTCATACGGAGATTCAGAAATGAAAATATCCACGTGTCAAAAATAGAAACATATCATCAGTTTCTTGTAGAATAGACAGGGAATGCGTAGGAAAGTAGTCTCGGAACTAAAACTCGATATCCGATTGGTAGGGAAAAGAAATAATGTCCGAAGTACTCCACCCAAAGTGGACGCCTTAACTCGAAAGCATTTTGATCGATCTCAGCACCCTCTAGCGGTTTCTCCAGATCCCAGTTTCTTAAATTGATTCCATTGGTTGGAAAGAAATGGATTTCCGACTACTTCTTCCCTTACCATTTTTTTCTAGTAGTACATATTTCCTGCCATTTTACCCAATACCCTTCGGCATTACGAAGGTTGTTATTTCCCAAATGTCACCGCAGATAGACCGCGCATGAAAAAACAAGTTGAAGCAAATGGAGACGAAAGTACGAACATTTTTATTATTTTACGGCAAAGTTTTCGACTAGGATTTTTGTTGCTGAAATTGGAGATTTTGTATATCCCTGATCAGGTATCATAACTGCGGGTCGTATATATATAGGGAGACACGAATGGGCTTAAGTGACATAATTCAATCGTGCTGTCTGCACGACCTGCTGGATATGAGGACGCTTTCCGAGAAGGCATTTTAAGAGCAGTAAATCTATTTACCTCCCGCTCGAATAAGCAAATCAGTCTAAAATTTTGCGTTAAAAGTTATTCGGCGGAAAGAGGGAAAAGTTCAAACTATTGCTGAGAATTTTTATTTTTGAGTACACGCTGTACTGGAGAGTTAGTTGTAAGTATTCTCAAGCGAAGAGCACTTTATAAATAAGTGCTTCGCAATTCGCTATATTGCTCTAGGAGTTTTTCACTGAAAAAGTTATTTTAAAGTCTCGCTAACTTTCTACACTAACAGGCCAACACAATGAATTATTTTTTTTTAAAATTTTCTTTTTTAAATCTGGATGTACGTAATTCGTTTCATGACATAATACATTTAATTCTTTCAGTATGTGCCTAAACATGAATAGGTGATAAACATAAACTGAGAAATCGTTAATGATTCTCAACTGGCATTTAAGAAAGCACAAATTCACTCCTTGGATAATATAAGACAAATGAGTATGTGTTGGCATACCAGCGACCAAGCGGCAAAATCTCTGAACACTGGTATTTCGGTTCAGAGTTCGAATCCAGTCGAACTGGATGACTGCATGGGTATTTTTGTGATTTTCCTCATGTGTAACGTGGACACGAGCTGCCCACCAGCGGTTAAATCACTGAACACTGGTAGTTTAGATCTGGCTGCATGGGCGTTTTCGTGGTCTTCCTCATGTGTAATGTGTATGCGAGTCAGATTTCCCTAGAACGTCCTCCAAGAAATCATTTTTTCCCTTATGTAGATAGCCCTAGTGTGTTTTGCCATAATCTACCAAACCATACCAAGCCATGGATACGAGTCAGTTTCTCTTCAAATTTCTCCACGGAGCATCCCTCCCCTTGGCGTATGCCATTATGTAAGTCGCTGTAATCAGATAAAAATGAATATATGCTTATAGATAGGATAAGATTTTATTGATAAAATCGTGAATTGCAATCCGAATAAGAGTATTTTACGGAAAGGTTTCGTTATGAATTTTATTTATTTGTAACACTATAACTTCTCAGAATTTTAAAATCAATCAACAGGGTTCTATTGTCTTAGGTAAATTAGCTTTACCCAAACTGAAAAATGTGTCATTTTAGTACCCTATGGAAAATAATCATACTGTACTATAAAGTTAAATTAATGTACTCAACTTTCAAAAATAAAGTTAAATGGATAAAGAATCATTATTTTTAATGAATTCGAATGTCTGTATGTGGAAAAGGTAATTGCATTCTTGAATTTAAATTGAAATTATTTTTAAGTTTCTAATGTAATTATTTTACCCGATACTTCGAAATCCTTATTATTGTGTGATTCAGTTCGCAACTAATATTACATGCTGATGGCATTATATTATACGATCAAACTTTTCGTACGAAGGAACGTTTCTTTATTTCTTAATGAAAATTAAAATCTAATGAGGTCGTTTTATCGCGAGCGGTAGGCGTGATTATAAAATTATACTCAGTTATAGAGCAACTGAAGCCTACATAACTGGTTTGCCCATTTTACATGAACAAAGTCACTGCCAGAAATGGATACCCCTAACATTTTCCAGCAGTTTGTCTCTTACTGTGACCAGTTTGCTGCAGTAATGCAAATGAGAGAAATATTTTACAGTCGATCGTAATTTGTGATGACGCAGTGGGGCCATACTTTGATCTTCTGTTGAAGACGGAATCAGCAAGAGTGGAAAACAACAGGTTAAGCACCACCAAAAAAATAAACGTTGCAGCAATCAACAAAAATGGTAATGGCCCGATTTTTTTGGTGGGGAGGGGCAGCACGAAGGGATCCTTCTGGATGGACTTTAAAGAAGGAAATCAATCATTAACTCAAAACTTTTGTGTAAAGTGAACAATAAAATAAAAAAGACAAGACATGGAAAGCTGTGCCGCGGAATTCACCTTTTCCGTGATAATGCTGCTGTGTACTCAGTTGTCGTTGCTGAAGAAAACACATAAAGAACTATGATTGAGAGGAGCTTGACAACACCTCTTAGAGTTTACAGTTCAGACTTAGTTGCGGGTGATTATTACTTATTCTACAAACTGAAATCTGACTTTCGTGGAAAAAGGTTTTATGATGATGATGATGGCCGTAAAAAGAACAGTTAACATCCTGGGAGGACAAAAACTTTAGATTACATTTTAAAGAGGCATAGATTTGCTCAACAAAAGATGTAAAAAATGCATCATAAGTACAAGGAGATCGAATTGAAAAATAAGTTATTAAAAATTTATCTATTTCTTTCAGAAATATACTAGGCCAGAAACTTTTGAATCCATCTATGTATTTATTCGATAATAAAATTTAATAAAAAAGCAAACAGGAGGAACGGCCAACAATTATGTTAATGAAACACAAAAATTCGTAGTTTCTCATTTTCTTTTCCACCGATAATGGAAAGGCTATCAATGAACTCTGAATACTATTAGTTGAAGTCTCAGTTAAACTCTGAAATAAATTCATGTTCTCTTCGATCTTATATTGTCTTCTTCCGTCCGCTGAGAATTTTCCAGTGCCTTCTATTGCTTGAAACTGATGAAATTATTACACAGTTACATAGGGAGCTGGAAGCAGTTACAATTACATAGGGATCGGACCAGTTACATAGGTTACAGTTACAGTTAAAGATCGCCTAGATAAAACAGGTTACAGTTACGGCTACAGATCAACTAGATTTCATAGGTTACAATTACTGGTCGACTATATTTCATAGGTTACAGTTACAGATCGGACCAGTTACATAGGATATAGTTACCGCTACATAGGGATTGGACCAGCTACGTAAGGATCGGATCAAAGTGTCGCCAAATATTTGTCAAGCCTGGCGACTTTTGGCGATCTGTCACCGAATTTGGCGATAAAATTTAGTTGCTCAAACCATTGCCAGCTTGATGCTATCTCTCCCTTTCCCTCAATGTTAAATGCACTTACGCCTATAACCTTATTTTTCCGACGATGCTTCGCATCCTGAGGCTTTTCATGTTAGATTATACAAGAGATCCTACAAATTATATGTAACTTCACTAAAATTATTTACATATATACAAAATTTTTAATTATATTTACATAAACATTTCCACATGAATGCAGTTAAAAGCAAGCCATAAAATTACCTTATATACTGCTGACTATTTTTTGTCTATTTGATAATTAATTCCAAGGTACCGATTTTAAATAAGGCGTTTCTGAACAACCGAATGTGAAAATCTAAACATTGCATTTAGTTCTCTTTAGTAAATTTCTGATGCTAACGCATTTATTGCAGTAAAGCAGTCTCTTTGCTTTACGAGAAATATTTCCATGGAGAAATTTTCGAGGAAAATCTGTTCGATTCCGCGTTACTCAAAGAAAAATCGCGAACCCCTATGCAGCTAGTACATTCAGTTGCCTGTAACCAAACCTTCCCTGTCCCAGATACCTGTGTTCAGCTATTCTTAACCACTCGGTCATTAGTAGGCTCTCTCATACCTGAGTTAACTCAGTTTTCAATCGTGTGCAAATGTTGAAAATTGTTGTTTGTATCACGCATTTTTTAATCAGTTAATTAAGCCATAAAGAGTTTTAAACGAATTTGCATAATAGTTGCATAATAGGATAGTTATAGTTTTAACCTTCCAAGGAATAAACTAAAAGCGCAAATCTATCGCTTATTTTTGTCCATGAATATTTTAAAATTGTTAAGAATGATTTTTTTGACATTACATTTTAGAAATGGTCAAAGAAAACTATCAGAATAATATATATATTATGTTAGGTATAAATAATATTTTACGCCGAATTTTTGGCTAATATGTTTTACTTGTCTAGTAATAATCTCCTATTCTGTGTTCAACAAACAAAGAAAGCTTTGAGAGTGAAGCGTTTGGATGGAGATTGATAATGAGGTAAAATTTTGGATAAGATAATTGGTATGCGTTAAATTAGTGTGTGAAGCAATGAATACCTTGAAGTGCTGCTGGAAATTTCACAAGAATGAATAAGCTAAAATGAACGTAGGACAGAAAAGCTGTTCCAGAAGTAGAAATTTCTAAAGAAGTGGAAATTAACCAAGATTTGAAGCCATAAAAATATAAGGGAAGCCCCACATCCCAGTGAAATAAACAGACAAGTATATTTGTTGAATATTTCATTATATTGTGATCAAAATCTGTTTTAGTAAAACAGAGATAAATCTACTAAACTCATCACCAAATAATAACTTAAAAGTTTTTGAGAGAAATAGTTTAAAAGTATTATATTAAATCTTCTCCTGACGACCACCTTTGAAAGGGATGAGGATTTTTGATCCCATAATTATATAACGGTGTTGAATATCATCAATAGGCATATTCTTTAAAGTAATGGCCTTCTCAGCCAGCTTATTTCAATTTTAGAATGGGGTTTAAGTTAGATTATTTGAGTATGGCAAAATACATGAGGGCTATCTGCCTAAGAGCAATAACGCTTTCGTGGAGGATTTTTAATAGAAATTAGCTTTTATTTTCGTTACATATGAGGAAACGTACAAAAGATAGTTATGCTAAAAGTCCGTGCGCGGGGATTCGAACTCAGATCGAACTACTAGAATTCAGCAATCTCAGCCACTCATCCACTGGTTGGGCTTTAAAATAAGATATTCACATTTCTTTATAATTCCTTTATGCACATATGTATTAGTGCTATAAATACAGACTCTGTTTGTTTATTTGGATTATGGCAAGAGTGACTTTGTGATGCACTTTCTGGGAAACTGGCCCTCATTCAAGTTTTATATATGAGGAAAAATACAAAAAACTCCCTAGCACCCATTCCCTTTCGTGGGATTTGAAACCTGGTCGGACAACCAATGCTCAGTCGTAGTAATATTTAGCTATGCGTGGACTAATACAGAACTCATTTTGTCATTTATTAATAATGTTTGCTGACTACCATTCCTCCGGCAAAGTTTGGGCATTTTTATATTAGGTATACGTAAGGGAATGGCTGAAATCGTCGATTATAGCATCCTCTCAGAATGATGCTCAAGTGTAGTAGTACAATATGTAGTAGACCCCTTTGCAGATTAAATAAAATTACTTGTCAGATGCAAATCCAAGCTTAAAACACGAGACTTCGCAATGATTCAAAATCTTTAGTTTTAAAAAGGAGGTCTCGGCCAGTGTGTTGTTATGGAATGACTACAACAAAATTAATCGAAAGAACATTTAATGTAATACTAGCTGGAATAAACACTCATCAGCTGTGTTTTTTAATTACTTGGATAAAGTATATGAGATTTAATAAAACATGTAGTTCCCGTATATTGTTACTTTTAAATATACATTAGCATTTTTATACTTGTTTAATTACCTGTCAGTTTGTGTTTGTACTTGTTTAATTACCTGTTTAATTTTTATACTTGTTTCGAGTTTAATGTAACACACTGAGATCGATTTGATGAAGATACTGAGTTAGCTCGGGGATTCATTCTGGATCCGAAATCAATTCGCTGGTGACATTGGGTAATTAATTAAATCTTGATGACTCTTTTGCTACGATAACGGCCAATAACTCATTGGTAGTATTAGCGGCTGATAAAAATTTGGCACCACTTAAATTAAACTAGCCTAGATTTGCCAGTTTTCCTAACTATTCGGTTAGGATATTCTGATTGAAAAATGGGAATATATTTCTTTGCTTTGCTTATTTTGCTTATTACATTTACTATGTTTACTATCTTTTTGCTTTAAAATATGAAACAAAAAACGCATTAATGCTTTGATATGTAAATTAAATTTTTTTTAACATTCTAGCTCGTAACTGTTAACATTCTGTATGTATATTAGGTCATTTTGTTAGGAATACTGTGTTAAATTACAAACTTTCCTTCAGTAGAAATGCAATAGCAGTATCAGCATCAGTAGCAGTAGCAGTAGCTGGAGGAGGAGGAGCAGAGGAGTAGCATCAAGATGTGTAGTAGGAGTAGTAGAAGGAGAAGCAGAAGGCTTATTTTTTTAGAGTAAGTAAATGCATGGTTTAGTTTTTCTACATGGTACTTTACATTCAAATTATATATATATATATATATAAATATTCAAATTAGGCAGAAAGAAGGATGGTTTTTAAAGGAAGGTTTTAGGAGGGTGATACCAGAACGTGTTCTGCCTGCTTGAAGGCCACGTTTCTCTAATGATTAGTATTCTGCGGCGTTGAGTTATTCTTGCCATTGTTTAAGACGACTTTGGTCAGAGCTAGCTTGTGCGCTAGTTAAACTGTGAAGCCGTTAGGCTGTACTTAACTTCAATAATTTTAAGTTTATTCATTATCTTTGATTTAAACCAAAAGTGTTGGCTTCTGCAAACACGAGTTGGTGGCGTCTGTTAAATCTTATTTGAATTAATAAAAGGGTCCTTTACACCTTTTCCCTCTCTCTGTAGTATTTATCAGATGCAGTACTGTCTTTGAAGTCGGTACTGTCTTTTAAAGTCAGTACTGTCTTTGAAAGGTCTGGTGTAATTGTATACTCCCGAAGAAGACCAGATTGTATACTGTAAAGTCATTCTTCTGGTAAAAAAAAATTAATTTTAACAAGCTATTATCAATCAAAATCGTAAAAACAACCTTGTATTTAGCGTAGGTATAATGAAACACTCAATCGATTTCGAGGGCAGCTAAAGGTCCCTCCTCATCAGGAGAAAGAAATACCTAGAAAGAAGAAAAAAAAGCTATTATCAGTTCTGTTTGCATTCAATCCAAACCCTCAGCCACGTAACAGTTTTTGGTTCAGAAGTGGGATTTGAACCCGTCCCTACATTCGGGAACCAGAAAAAAATTTATGCATGAGTACGGGTTCGCAATGGATTGAATGCACACAGAACCGAAGATAGTTTGATAAAATTTATTTTACGAAAAGAATCACTTCACATTTCTGAAACTTTCCACAAAAATACTCTTACAGCTCTTTTTAGTATCACAGAGCACTCTATCAGTAGTTACAATTCAAACTACTTAGAACGTTAAGCACAACGAAATGCAAAGCGCATCTAAAGAGCGAAGCTCACACGGAGATATTTCCGTATTCCGAAGTTTTCGAGAACTGAAAAAATAAGAAAATAATGCTCTCTTCAGTTTTATATAATCTTCCCCCGGCCACCGAGAAATTTCTAGTGTCTTCCGTTTCTCGAAATTACTGAAAGGCATACGAGGGTCGCATATGGTCCTAGTTACATATACAGATTAATTACATTTATTCAGTCACAATACCAGTTACAGTTATACAAGGATTGGACGAAAATATCTCCCAATAGGCGCCAAGTCTGCCGACTTTTAACAATGTCTTGCCAAATTTTGTTACAAAAAATTAGTCCTCAAAACCATAGCCAACTTCTCGATAGCTCACCAGTTCAGAGAGAGAGCCATTTACTCAATGTAAAAAGACTTTCGCTCTGTAATCGTATTTTTCCAGGAGAACAACTTCTCTTTCAAGCATTTCATGCTATTATTGTTAGTTATTTACATATATATAAAATCCACAACAATAGCTTTAGGTATCCAAACCTAAATCTACGAACTAAAGATAAGCATGTCGAGAAATTATAGCAGTCCAAAATATTTCCAAGTCCTGGAGTTTTCCAGACCCATCACTCTTTGAACATGATTATTTTTATTCGCCTTCATTGTTTTAACATTTGATAATTTTATGTCTTTGCTATGCTACTGAAAAAACATCCAGTGAAAAATGTGTAGAAGTCTTCGCGCTCGGAAGATCCTCGCTTGAAAATACGTTGAAGATCTTCGCTTAAAATGTTTTAATTTTCGAAATAAGAAGAACAAGGTGTTCGATGTTCGACGGAAGTGGGAAAATTATTTTACAAACAGAACTACAGTAAATTTATCTTATTTCTCAATTTCTTTGCTTATTGTTTAATTTTATGATATAATTTGGATAACATCTAATTTAGATATGACCTACTAGGGGTCGTCCTGTAAAATCTTTAACATTATTTATTAGATCGCGGTTAAATTCTGGTGAACGGAGACTATCTTCTTAGGAGTTTTTGCTATTTACCTCATGTGCTACGCTGATACGAATCAGTTTGACTTTTGAAATCTTGAGCGAAGGCTTCATCTTTCTAAGGAATAGCCCTCTAGTGCTTTGCAGTCAAAGTTACTATGCTACAAGGTATGCTCTTCTCGATTAAGGTCGACCTACGTTGTGACCTCGAAGTCCTGCTTCAAATAAAGGTTTCTCCTACTTCTGTGTGCAAAATGACGTCATTTAGCAGATGCATCAAATACGTCACTCTCTCGAGCGTCGGAAAGAGAATGGTTCGACCTTGAAATAGCGTGACCTTGTCTGTCCACTGTGCTTCGCAGTAATCTAAATAATGCATTTCAATATGAGACTTCGAGCTTTTTCATAGCAGCTGCTTTAAATGTAGATTTCTACAATTTTTTACTTTCCTCTTTCTCCTTCATAAATACAGTTTTTCAAGGCAACTATGGCAAGAATAAATTAGGTTTATCTGGAATAAAAAAATAAACGAGCACCGTTAATCTTCGATTCTAACTTTGCTTGTTTTCTTTTCATACTGTAAGGAAAACTTTCAACTTAGGCTCAGCAGCGGCCGAGTAGCAGAGCCGTTGAGAATTGCTAGTTCGGCTCTTTCAAATCCCAGAGAATAGGCTGACTGCATAGGTATTTTCCGGGTTTTCCTCATATGTAACGTAAATACGAAACAGTTTACTTTAAAATGTTCTTCACGAAAGCATTCCTATCCTTAGGCATGCAGTCCTCGATTGGTTTGCCATATTTAACTAACCGATTAAACCTCCCGCGGAAATTAAAAACCCTGTTTAATCGACCTGACGCTGGAAACATACTTCATCATCGGTAGATTGTAGGCGGTGTATCAGCGGTTGTCGACTGATAACCAAGTACCAAAACTATTGTGGAAGGCAAGTTCTTCTGCCCATTTTTAAGAAAGCAATACAAAAGTGTATAGATATTTATGCAGGAACTTTGAATTCACTTTTTAAAATATTAATGACGTATATTTTGCCCTTCAAGAATTATCATCGGCTTCCCAAAGGAGAATAAATATAAGTTATCAAAGTTAGCAACTGAGTGGCTACTGCAGTGCTTGCACCTCAAAATTTACACTGAATTTTTTTGATAAAATGGGAAGTCATTTAATAAGTGGTGTAGGGTTATATTTAGTTCAATTAGTCAACTATTCAAATTTTTGTTATCTTTTTGGAACTCCTCAGCTTCCCCTCGCATTTCCTCGCCAAGATGCTAATTTAAAGTTAAGGGAAGTAGGTATTTAAATGGGTGAATCTAGCCAGGGCACGTTACGAATCTGTCTTTCCTGTTACGCGGAATTGCTGATACACTTTTTTGGCCATTTAAATAATTACAACGTCGAATAAGTTGTCGATTCAAACTAATTAGCTTTAATTGATTGTGTGACGATTCTTAAGTTCCACCACAAGTCGTCGGTGTTATTGTAAAGCACGAACTACGTGCCTTTCTGTTTAAAGTTGATAATAATAAAGGGTTATTTTTACCCTTCTTTTTATCATTTACCCCTGTGCGAGAAGTCTCCAGGTTCCTTAGTAGGAACTCATACATGTTATGTGGCCAAAAAGAGTACGATCCTATAGTGGGTATTGTAATACTTATTTATACATGCCCATTATTTCGTTTGAAATCTTTCACATTTATCATAAATTAATTTTAAAATGCACTAAAATCCCTTCCATGACGCAAAACGGATAGGAAAGTTCTAGAAATAATTGTCATCGAATTATTTATTTTTAGAGATATGAGTAAGACAGAGCAGAAGCCAAATGCTTTTATTTTTCGCAGAAGAGGGAAAAAATATGCTTTGTGCTAACTTGAAAGGCTTTCATAGCATAAGAAAATAATCTAAAATGACTTGAATTATTTATCGAGCCTTTTCTGACTGTAACAGGATGCTGTGATCTTCTTTATGTGTCTCGTGACGTCATAAGACACTTTTTATTTTTACTCGATTGTTTCTTTGCAATTTGAAAAGATTAAAACGACTGCACTTAATAAAATCTCTTTTTAGAATTTAATTAATTTGATGCATACAGAAGATGCATCTCCGTATAAGCTAGCCATGATAAAAAATCACCGCTTAAATTTTACGCTAGTTACAACAGTAAAATGCAAGGTAGTGTAGAAGGAAAAACTTTAATAAAAGGATTGTTTGAAAAAGTAATTTGGAAGCAATTTTTTCATATAAAATTTGGTGCTTTATACATCTAATGCTAACTTAAATTTCTTTATGTGAAGGTAATTTTTTAAAAGAGAATACATTGCTAATGTGAAAGAAACACATATTTCTTTTTCCTGTTTTTTTTTTCGGTAAAGTATATGACTCGTTTTATTATAAACTACTATTTTGTAGCTCTAATATACACCGTGATTAGATCTAAGTTCTGCTGTAGTAGGTTATAACAGGCCATTGTATAAGTTGAATATTTCAAAGTAACACGTTTTCGTAATGATTTGCGCCATCAGTGACCGAGTGGTTAAGACCACCGAATACTGGGAGTTCGGTTCGGCCTGGGTTCACTCCCAGACGAATGGACTGGGTGCATAGCTGGTTTTCCCCATGTGTAATGGGAATGCGAACTAGATTATCTTGGAAAGGTCTTCACCAAGGCATCTATTCCCTTTGACAGATAACCTTTGTCATATTTGAATAATCCCAATCTCAGAAAGATACAGTTGGATTATGGGTAAGCACATAATGCCTATACTTGCCTAAGAGAAAGGATACATTCAGGGAAGACTTTATGCGGAAAACTGGCTTGTATTCAAGTTATCAAATGGGAAAAATTTCAGGCAGCTTCCATGCATCCACCTCGTTTACCGAGATTTCAGTTCGGGTCGAAGTACCATTGTCCAGCTATCTCGGCCAGTGATGGCTTTTTTTCAGAATAAAAGACATCTACATTAATCAAACAACCTTTCAGGAACGAAAC